TATGATTTGAGGCCATAGGAGCATAGATAGAAAAAGATTGCAAGCCAAAATGGCGTCTGAATTGCCTCCACAGCCTTAAGGATGCCTCAACTATTTTATTAGAAGTATACGGTTTAGTTGAAGACTGTATTGGTGAATGTAGTAAGGCTGCCAAGGACACAGGTTTTACAGAGTTGGCCTCCATAACAAGCCAAGCTGGAGAAGAAGGGCTATCTGCCTCAAGCCAATATCAAAAAAGTCTAATATTTGAGGCCCAATAATAATATCTAAAATTTGGCAAGGCTAAACCCCCAAGTCTTTTAGGTCTTTGTAAGAATTGAATGCGTATACGAGAAGCCTTCCCGTTCCAGAGGAATTTGGTAATTATACTATCGAGTTTGCTAAAAAAGGACCGTGAAAGAAAAATAGGGATGCATTGAAATAGGTAGGAGAAACGTGGCAGGATGTTCATTTTGATCGAGTTAACCCGAGCAACCAACGAGAGGCCAAGCACCGACCAACGATCAAAGTCTTCCTTAATATGTAATAATAAAGGGGAAAAGTTTGCTTTAAAAAGATCTTTGTATTTGGATGTAATCTGGATTCTTAAGTAGGTAAAGCTCTGGTCTATGACCTTAAATGGTAATGTATGCCGTGGGTAACTCTTAGCTAGCGTATTAACTGGGAATAATTCACTTTTGCTAACGTTTAATTTATAACCTGACAACTGCTCAAATTCACCAAGTGTGGCAAGTACAGCAGGAATAGAAATATCCAAATTAGAGATGTACAAAAGAAGATCATCAGCATATAAAGAGACCTTAGTTTCCATGTCATCCCTCTTTATACCTGTAATGCTTGAGTTACCTCTAAGCGCTATTGCGAGGGGTTCAATTGCCGAAGCAAATAATAGTGGACTCAGTGGGCAACCTTGACGCGTAGAGTGACTGAGACGAAAATAGCCAGATTGAGTATTGTTTGTCCTAATCGATGCATATGAGTCAGAATAAAGTAACTTAATCCAAGACAGAAAATTCTCCCCAAAGCCAAATTTCTCAATCGAGTAGAATAAATATGGCCACTCGACTCTGTCGAAGGCCTTCTCGGCGTCCAAAGATATCACAACTTCTTGAGTACTGACAGAGGGTGGGCTGTATATAACATTAAAGAGTTGACTTATGTTGAAGAAAGAGTTCCTATTTTGTACAAAACAGGTCTGATCTATTCCAACCACATTGGGAAGCACTGTTTCTAGTCTCAGTGCTATTGTTTTTGCTAGCAATTTAAAGTCAACATTAAGTAAACTTATCGGATGATAGGAAGAGCAGAGTTGAGGGTCTTTGCCTTTTTTAGCAAGTAAAGTAATAACTGCCTGATTACGGGTCTGAGGTAGGCACCCAGAGGCCAAAGAATCATTGTAAACCTCTAAAAGTAGTGGAGAAAGCTTGTCCCAAAATATTCTATAAAACTCACAAGGGTACCCGTCAGGGCCAGGACATTTGCCCCCCTGCAGGGCCTTAACTGCCTCAGTGAGTTCAGAGATGACAATAGGTATCTCAAGATTGTCAGCTACATCCTGACCGATTGTAGGAATTTCCAAATTATTAAAAAAGTCGTCAAAATCGGTTACAGAAGGAGTACATTCTGAGGAGTATAATGCCCTATAAAAATCCTTGAAGGCCAAATTAATTTCCATTGGGTTAGTTGTGACACCCTGGGAAGTTTGGATCTGAGAGATGTGGCGGGAGGCTGACACACGTCGAATTTGGTGAGCCAGGAGTTTGCCAGCCTTATCTCCATGTTCATAAAACTGGGCACCAGACTGAAGTAACAACTCAGTAGTTTGTTGTGTCATAAGCACATCAAACTCAGCTTGCAACACAAGGCGATCCTTGTACAAAGTAGGAGAAGGTGATATTGCATATAAGTTGTCAATTTGAGAAATATGGCATGTCAAAATGCTAATTTTCTCTCTTCGCAGCTTATTTTCATACTTTACATAGGAGATAATTTCCCCTCTGATGAAGGCCTTAAGTGTCTCCCAGAGTAGAGAGGCCGACACATCGGGTCTTTTATTAGTTTCTATAAAAAAATCTATTTGTCGTGCCACAAAAGATACAAATTTCTCATTTGATAGCAAACGGGTGCTAAGCCTCCACGGTGGCCGCTCAATGGGGTGAGAGCCAAATCTAATACTTATAGAAACTGGGGCGTGATCTGATAGAACAGTAGCATCATATTTGCACCCAGTTAGAGAGGACAGCAATCTGTTATCAATCAAAAAAAAAAATCAATGTGTGTAAAGGTGTGGTGGACTGGGGAAAAAAAAGAGAAAACCTTCTGGGAGGGGTGAAGAAAACGCCAGGCATCGTAAACATTAAATTCGTACATAAAAGAGTCCCGGCGACGACTCTTTTATGTCCTGACCATGCATCAGGACATAAAAGAGTTAATAATTTTGGATGAGCGCGGCAGCATGGTTATGTTTGTTGACGAGCGATCCAGCTGAGGATCAAGCCAGCAATTAAAATCACCTCCCAATATTAAGTGACAAGTGGACAGATCGGGAAGTGATTGGAAAACGTGTTTAAAAAAGTATTCGTTATCACAATTGGGAGCATATATATTGGCCAATGCTACCGGGATATTGCAAATGGTACCAGTGATAATAACGTATCTACCACAAGAATCAGAAATGGTTTGAGAGTGCACATAAGGGACAGATTTACTGATAAGAATGGCCACTCCTCTAGATTTAGTGTTAAAAGAGGAATTATAAACTTGACTAATCCAGCTGCGCCTCAGCTTCATGTGGTCCACGTTCTTAAGGTGTGTCTCTTGAAGAAATGCTATATGTGTCCCCAAACGTTGCATATGATGTAGTACCTTACTACGCTTTACAGGATTGTTGAGCCCCTGCAGTTAAAGCTGGTGAAACGGATCTCTTGTCCTACCGCTGTAGCTGGTGTCAGGTGAAGATCAGCCATAGGTCAGAGTAAAGTAAAAAGAAGTAAACAAGAATCACCCTGGTCACCTGGAAAAAAAAAAGAGACATACACAGACCAACAGACAAAAAGAGCAAAGTAACGCACACTCCCCTGTAAACCAAAAACCTCCATAAACCCACCCATTCGCTGAAGCATCCCCCCAAACGGGATGCGCAAAACCCCATCAAAAAAACAAAAAACAGCATCCAGCCTACTAGAGACTAAGAAAGAGAAAGTAGTCTTAGCTGCTGACATACTCTCCTGGGAATGTGATATAAATATAACGATACGTAGAAAATGCACCACCTATAAACCAGCAAGTTTTGTAGAAACATGAAATATCTTATAAAACCTGAAGAACTAATGTGTAATCAGACCCACAAGGTCCACTGAGTTGCAACAAGAGCCAGAAAAATACAGTAAAAATTAATTTCCAAAGTAGGAATGATATCTACAGTGTATTCACAAAGTTCTCAAAAGGCACTGTTGAGAACAATAATGTATTAAATAATAATTTTGTTGTACATAGTATTACAGTTCCCAAACAAGATGTTATCCCATCGCTGAGCAGCGGCACCTCCCAAGTTAAACTGTGGCCGGATCAACCACGTTTTTAAGGTTTTTCCCAACAAAGTCTTCAGCCAGGGCTGAATCCTCGAATTTGTGAATTTGCCCGTTGGGAAGAGTGATCCGTAATATTGCGGAGAAAAGAAGCCCTGTTGCCTTGTGTTCTTGGGGCTGTCACCGGGTGTTCTTGAGGCTGTCGCCGGGTGTTCTTGAGGCTGTCGCCGGGCGTTCTTGAGGCTGT